GAACATTGAACGGGAGGCCCAACTACGGCTTCCTGTTCACCCAGCTTCGAGTCCCAAAACGAACAAAAAAATGATAACGCAGAAAAACGTAGTGAAGGAAGAAATAAAAGGAAAAGATGGAAGGCCCCCTTAAGTGTCTCAAGACCACAAATGAAACGTACCGCGGGTGTAGCGGACGGGAAGGAAAAAAAAAAAAGAAAGAAGGAAGACCGTCTCTAGCTACCATTGATCGCCTTGAAGTGAGCCAGGCGCTTCAGCGTCGCCCGTTCCCATTTTACTTTTAGTTTCTCGTCGGAGAAATGCTTCCCTCCCCGTTTCTCTTTTTTAATATTTTTTTGTGTTTGCCGTGTTGGTGCTTTTTTCTCCCGAGCCGTTTTGGGTTCGAAACTGCGTAGAAAGAAAAAAAAGGCTATCGTGACTTGCCACTCCGAGCACGGATGCCTGTTAGGAGGCTCCGGCACGGATACAGACGGAATTCGTGTCACGCTGACTACGGTTAAGGCTGGCTGTTTTTTTTTTTTTTTTCTTCAGTTCTCTTGATTTCGGCGCTCAGTTTGTGTTCTGCTTGTGTGCGAGTTGGTGCAATTCTTTTGTGTGTGAAGTACGTGTGTACGTTTGGGATGCGTGCCTGCGTGGGTGTGAGTGTGTGCGTCTGTGTGTGGTGAAGCCTTGTGAAAGCCCTAAGGAGAAGCCAAATAGTCAAGAGATAAAAAGATCGTGGGTGCGCCGGGTTTCACTGGGTGACGACAACAATCTCATTTTAGGAAAAGAGGGAAAGCCAAAGAGGCAAAAGAAAACGAATGAGTGAGAAACGTTTGTAACGAGAAAAAAGTGCAAAAGATGTCTGCGAAGAGACGATGATGTCTATGGGATTGTTGTCCGTCCCCGTGTGATTGGACAGAAATTGTCATGGTGCGTGTCATCTTTGAGAGCAAGGCCAGGGTCGCCAACTTGGACTGTCATCACTGTTTTTGTACGACCTTCAAACTTGGAACTCGAAATTAGAGTAGTCTTGAGCACCGAATTTCACAACCGAAATGTTAATGCAACGCACACAATAATTTCACACCGATAATCATTGCTAAATTTGATTGGTTTGAAGGAGAGTGTGTTGCTAAGCATGTATGCCGCGTTTGAGCACACTTAACCGAACTGTGCTGGAGGTTGGGATAGGGTTTAAGTCAGGCCACTGAAGTTTATCCATAGAGTAATATAGTAAAACGTAAAGAGTGGCCACTCCCATAGACCCCAGCGGCCCACTCAACTACCAGCACTCCTAGCGGCCGCCGTGAAATTTTTCTCGACTTCCTGTTTGGATGCTTTCGGTTTCGTTTTTTAACATGAATAGAGTCACAGAATACTAGTAGTCAAATGAATGGATAACTATTAGTGCTTCCAACTGTATTGTGCGGTAGCTTGCGCCACCTAGGCTGTCGTGACTAACTACAATTTTAAGGACAGAACGAGCGGCGCGGGTTGGTAAGAGGTAATTAAACTTGAGGAAGAAAACGAGAAGGACGGACACCTTACAAACTTCCAACTATGGTTGTCCGTCCTTCTCGTTTTCTTCCTCAAGTTTAATTACAATTTTAAATTTGGTTACGGTTGCTAAATTAGAATTTACTTGGGCGTTTTATCTGTGTATTCAACAACTCAAAAGCACGCTTAAATTCATTTGCAATTTCAGGACAGACAGGTAATGAGGTAACCATGTACAATCCCAATATAAAATATAAAACTGTCACGGAACAGGAAAAAAGGGACAACCAACAGAAGGCAGCAATTAACAAATATTAAAAATTTTATTTTGGCCACGATGATAACCATAAAAAATAGTCACTTTACATAAAAAACAGAAACAAAAGACCGTGAAAATTATTTTTGCACTTAATTGTTTCAGGACGTATTACAAAGAAGATTTGTCAGAAAAACCTCATCAGCCTTTTTGTACAGGTTTGAGGGAGGAAACATCTAAAAGTTCACAACTGACACCAAAACCGGGTGACCCAATACGAAGATCCATACCAATAAAGAAACATTGAACACGAACACACTAGAAAAAAAACACATCAAGTGGTTCTGCAGTCACTCGTAAAGACTGGTCGACTGCTGGCCTGCAACCTGGTCATTACAAATTATACCTGGAACTGCTCGGCGTGCAGTGTGCACCGTTCTGTTAAGTACCGTCTTTTCCGGACTATAGTCCACACACAGGGTAGTGGTATAGTCTTCAGAATCCACACACATTTGTTTGCGTACCCACACAAACAAATTCCCCTAAGTAGATCGCTGTGTAAAATGCCTGCCTTGTTAGTGTACAAAAACTTCTAGTATCAATTATTAAGGCACAAAAAGAGTTAGCATAACAAATCATTATTTAACAATCCGTTATCCACAAATTCCGTCGCATCTATCATAAGGAACAATCTTCTAAAAACAAATCCTGGTATATTCCACACCTGCAGATTGTCCCCACAACATAAAATTACAATTCAAAACATGACTAGCCCGCGGCCATTGTCCAAACAATATGACTCTTCTTGCCTATGCACAAGCTGCACATCAAACTAAAGCAGCAATCGTGAACAAGACCAGGAAAGGCTCAATGACATCCAAGTTGCGTGACCAATGTACAGGACTATGCATAATAGAAAAATCACAACTCTCCCATTCAACATGGCCATACATAAAAATACAAGGCCAAAGTATTTTGAAATTAGACATACACTAATATAGCCAGGTGGCCTGCGACCCAGCCTTAAAAAAGTAATACCAAAAATGCTTGACACTCGGTTTGCACTGCTCAAATAAAGCTTTCTTCGCACCTGTAACACATATGTAATAAAATGCAAAACTAATGCTAAACGCATGTTTAAATTTATACTACCCTTTGAACTTCACCAGTTGTGCCCCAGAGACGCAAGTTTGGAGCCTAACTCTGTCTAAATTCCGGTTAATAAAGCGTATATGCCAGCAGAGACGTACTCTGCAAAACATCTTTAAAAACTTCGTATGGCACTCCTTAGTGCAAAACATAAAACTGCCAACGTCCACGAGTTTGGCATACAAAATACCACAGACATTACGAAGGTGCGCCACTCTTTCAATGACAGAAAGGAAGTGTAACTCAAGCTGCTGGATATATCTGAAGGCAGCTTCTGAGGGCACGGTCAGGTTTCCAAAAAGCTTCCCCGGGATGTGGTACGCTTTAAGCATTGTAAAATACTGATGAGGATGGTACAGGGTGTCATGCTCATTGTTCAACAATTCCGAACATGAACAACCAGGCGCAGTCTTCTCAGCAAAAAGTTTTATCAAAAATCCCGCGACATAGTACGTTGCAGATTCATCAATGATGTGCGAGTCGTCATGTGCCGCCAGTTTTGCAATGTTGTCTAGCGGAGGAAAGTTGTCAGGCGGGACAGATTCAACAATGTCTGCAAGCGATTCACTTTGAAGCGAAAATGGCGACAACTCCTGAAGGAGCCCAGACCCGTCGTCTTCGACATTACCCTTTTCTGAAAGCTTGAAAAGCTTCTGAATCCCAATGTTCTTCAGCCCAGACGTGAACTGAGACACATTGGGATTTGTATTGCAGCCTTGCTTCTGCCTAATACGCCCAAACATGTTTTCAAGCGGATCTTGCTGAAGACGCCGGGTCAGCAGAAACTGGAAGTCGTAGTTATGAGAAACATCTTCCCAGAGCAGCAGAATGGCTTTAATAGTGACTTGCCAGCCTATGATGGTTTGTGGCTGGCGTCTCCCCTCAAACGTCCACGCTGCAATCCAAGGAAGCTGCTTCTCAAGGAACTCAACTAACTCAGAATTTCCCTTCCGAATTCCATGTCGCAACTTTTGCTCTGTTTTTTTGCACCTCGAACTGTTTAAACAGTCAAAAAGCTTGTCCATCCGATCGCAAAAGTATGCCGTAGACATGGCTGCCTCTGGAAGTTCTTTTGCGTACACAAGAGACAGCAGTGCGACGCATACCGAGGCGCTCGGAACCTGTGTGGCCCGTTTGACTTTCATGTTATTGAAAGGCTTTTGGTAAATGTGCCGGTCAGTCAGCCTTGGTGCCAATCGCAGCCGCATCTCATGTGTTGAATGATATAACTGTACTATGTACGTCCAATCCACAACTTCATTTTCGATGTGAAGCCTGTGCGCTTGCACATTGTTGCGAGTTGTTTTTATCAGGTGTGGAACGTCGAAAATGAAGTAGACACGTTCATTTTTTACAGTAAAATATGGCTGACTGACCGACACACCCAACTGATTTGCCAAACTGACGTTGGAGGCCCCTTGGTCGCATATGACAGCCTTTACAGTAATTCTGATGTCATTTAGCTGTTCGATCAGGGATGTCAGCAAGTTACGAAGTACGGTCGATGGCGTCGATGTATGACCAATAGTGTAGGCGACAGGCTGAACCCACCTCTTAGAAATACCAGAGAGTAGGACAACCAAGGCTCGGTCTGCGATTGTGGAAGTGCGTTCGATGCCATCGTCCGTAAATCCGTGAACGACATTTTGAGTGACATCATAGGCCAAGTTCTTTTTTAGGACCATCTCGTCAAAGATGAGGGTACAGACTCGGTCCCGTTCATTCCACGACTGCGTCTTGGTCGAGATAGACGACATTACGCCTGGAATAATTCCGGGTGTCATTTTGATATTACACAGCCACCTTCTCAGGGAGCGCCGAGAAGGCAGAGTGAAGTGTGTGGACAAAAATCGGTACGCTTGCGGCCCACAGAAGTTTAGGTGCAAGGCAAACTTTTTTAGCCACAGCGGAAATCTTTTCCCCCTGCCCTTCGACCTCAGTTTCACATGACTTGACACCAGCTGGAATACCTCCTCAGTGACATGAGGGCGAATCATGGCGAGGGCTTCTGTAGCTGTCTGAGGCGCCTTCTGCTCTTGCTTCCGCAGTCTTGTGATGGCCTTCCTGTAGCGCGAGACCTTGGCTTGAAGACGCTTTATGACGTCCTTAGGTCTCACTGCCGACTTGCGGAAACTGGGCGTGGAGGCGCGTGAAATAGCTGGAACCAAGAAACACAATATTAGCCAGCTGAGAAACAATATATGTGGCCATAGAGTTGAGCTTGTCCACTCAACTCTGCATTATATTTATATAATGTGAAAAATCAACACCACCTTATATTTATGAGTATTAAACTTTTAGGTCATTAATGCCTGTTAACTAAAGATATCCAGAAGTAATACCAACTTTCCATTTGCACAGAAGAATCTTACTCATGAAAAGCATAGAGACATCCACATAAGCAAATTAAATTAGACACTTACAAGCCTCGGCTGATTCAGAGCTGGCAGAGGAGAATGGTGTCACTGGGCTGAGGTCTGAAGGCGTGCCGTACGAGGAACTGGCCTGCACGAGATCTGCAAGGAGTTGGTTATCAGAAACAAGTTGTTGCTTCAAACAGAGTTGCTTCCTCACCATGAGCTGCCCTGGACAGGGTGACCGGCTGGCTGTCCGAAGGCGTGCCATGCGAGGTGCTGGCCTCCGCGAGATCTGCAATAAGTTGGTTATTAGAAACAAGTTGTTGCTTCAAACAGAGTCGATTCCTCACCGTGAGCTGCCCTGGACAGGGTAACCGGCTGGCTGTCCGAAGGCGTGCCGTGCGAGGTGCTGGCCTCCGCGAGATCTGCAAGAAGTTGGTTATTAGAAACAAGTTGTTGCTTCAAACAGAGTCGATTCCTCACCGTGAGCTGCCCTGGACAGGGTGACCGGCTGGCTGTCCGAAGGCGTGCCGTGCGAGGTGCTGGCCTCCGCAAGATCTGCAAGAAGTTGGTTATCACAAACAAGTTGTTGCTTCAAACAGAGTCGCTTCCTCACCGTGAGCTGCCCTGGACAGGGTGACCGGCTGGCTGTCCGAAGGCGTGCCGTGCGAGGTGCTGGCCTCCGCGAGATCTGCAAGAAGTTGGTTATTAGAAACAAGTTGTTGCTTCAAACAGAGTCGATTCCTCACCGTGAGCTGCCCTGGACAGGGTGACCGGCTGGCTGTCCGAAGGCGTGCCGTGCGAGGTGCTGGCCTCCACGAGGTCTGCAAAAAACAAGATGAAGTCACCTGCAATTAACAAAATGTTGGATACGAAAGCAGCAGTGTTGGGGGTGTAACACAGCAGTCAACACGTTCTGGACATTGAAACAAAAACAAAACATTCCTAGATGATGGGAATGTTTGGAGCTAGGGAAGCTCCAAAACCAATGATACTGAGACTAAGTGAACACACGATATTGTGATGGAGATGCGCAAACATGACACGATCGCCTAAACGTGACCATACCACTGATGCTAGATAGAAGTAAGAGTAACGTCAGAGCTTACGAAGCAGTGAAAGTAGAGTTACATGTAAGCCAAGTTTTTCTACTTATATATTTTGCATACATCGGGAAGTGAATAAAGCATTACCACGACATATCACAGACTGCCAGTGTTCCTGGGGACGAACACTGGGCACTGCTGTTTTTGTGAGCCTCGTTCGTCCAGGGTCCATGAAGTCGTGTACAGTGAAGTGGTCGCTGCACACGTAGTAGCTCGCATATAGGCGCGCCGCCGGTTTGTTTATGAGGTCATGTCTCTTGGCGTACTCGACCCACGCCTTAGACCTGTGACATGTGGTACAGGTATATAAATGCCTGAAGATGACTTGGACATTAAAGTGCCAGAGGCGGTTAATACATAGGCCATCTCTGTTTAACTGGAATGCCTCTGTCCCTTCATCACAGATATATAATTTTATTTGTTCCTTCCAAGTTATAGGATGTCACAAAAAGAACAGCAGAAATTTTCAATGACAACTATTTTTGTTCATGATATATTCAGTGAAGTGTTACGTCTGTGCTGATGTGAAGGCAAACACGCAGTAGTGTCCTATACATTATTTTCTCATAAGTACAGGCTATGTGCGAGATTACGAAGTACAGTTTTAAGAAAAATGAAATACATAACAATTCCACGGCTGGTAAGTGACTGTGTTACTTAACCACCTTAGTGTAGTTTGAGCAAAACTTGGTACTGTGAGTACTCCAGAGCTCTGTTCCTTCGTCTCGCCTGTACTGTTTTTATTCATCCCTATGCAAAAGAACTCGCCCAAGTTTTTCCCTTACTACAGTTTTGAAACTAGTTTTGAAGAAACACACGTTCCGTTTTTCGCTTTGACAGCTGAGCAGTCATCCAGTAAGTTTTTAGAACAAAGACAAGTGAAAACCATGGCTACCTGCTGTCCCGTGGAACCCGGAAAAACTTTGTTCCCGGTTTCTTGCACGTTCTTCCGTTGTTAGAGCACCACGCTACGCAGCAGTAGCTACCGTAGCTGGGCATTTCGACGGCGTGCGCTGCAGAAAACAATTTACAGAATTGGCGCCGTGAGATTCTGATATGCCTGCGAAAAGGGAGCTGGTCATGATGCAATAAACTGTACTAATATACAAAACACAAGGTCAAGTTCGTACTGTATAAATCACGAGGTAACCACGGTGCACGAACAGCGCCCTTAAATAAAAAGATGAATTACATGTTAGTATACACCAACTCGGACGACGTGAAACCAATGCTTCGGCGCCTCATGATACTATGGTTCACTATGGTGCTCCAGCATACTCCAGCGCGCAGGGTGCACCGAATTACGCTGATAATCGGATGCCTTGCTCACCTGTGATTTCATTTCCCCGAACTGGCTGTTCTCGACCAGATCAAATTAAAAGCACGGTGCTGCGGTATGTACTTTCAACATTAATAAGGACAAAACCTCACGCAAAGAAGGAAAAACTCGTGCGAGTAGGATGAAGAAACCACACCACATTGAGCGAAGCGTCTGAGGACCTCTCTTTGGCGTCACCGACTCTCGGCCCCCGCAGAAACTGTGTGCACAGCTCCATTTCACCGTAAGTGCCAAAAAAGAAACAACTACGAGAGACAGCTCGACGCTTTAAATGAGCATGTAATGCACGCGCGTTTGAGAAGTGAAAGCTGGAAGGAATCAGCGGCGCTGAAGACAACGCGCACGTGTTTGCAGCGTCAGACGCTTCTGCCCTGCCGCATTTCACGCTATGAAACCTGATGGAACAGAGAAAAGCGGTGAGCCCGAAAGACGCTGACGCCCAACAGACACGTGAAACACTCGTCATGTGGTTGCGTAATAGTGTTTTGAAATGGCTCACCTTTTCCACAAAGTGAACACCGAGAAATCGTTGACGACAGGAACAGCAGACATACCGCCCGAGCCGCCGAGCCCAACACCCAGGGAGCCTGGGCAGGCTGCTGTTATGGCGGCGTTTTGCCCAAGCGGAAGTCGCAATCATTGGAATATTTTTCTCTGACCTTCGAAGCTACTAACAATTTTAAAAGCTTCTAAATTAAGATAGAACAATTTATGAACGGTGCAAATATAACAAATATGTAAATAAATAGGCACTATGGCGCCAGCTGGCGGCTGCCGTGAAACCTACTTTCTGGGCCGCGATAGGGTCCGAGTGGCCACTCTTTACGTTCTACTATATTACTCTATGGTTTATCTGTGTCGCTGTGTACTCCAAAGGCATCAGCGTCGTCTACTCGCTTGTCAAGCTCTTGGGAGGTGCCGACCGCTGCAAACTACAGAGGGATCTCGGCGAATGATGAGGTTGATAATCTGTTTAAACCAGGGCCTCTAAACTCGTCGAACACAAAGTTTGAGCCAAAGTTGACGGAGCGCACCGATTGGCCTATCATGACGATGACTTCGCGTTTTTCTTGCCAACGTCCAATCGGCGCTCCGCGCACTTTCGACTCCAACTTTGTGCTTGACGAGTTTAAGTCCCCGGGAGAAGTAGTCTGCCTTGTCGCATGGCGTATTACGTTTCGCGTGCTTACGTCTTGCGCAGTCTCTCAAGGCAGACCGGTTTTTCTTTTTCCTTTTTTGGTAGTAAATATATTTTGAGTTTTGCTATCCGCCGAGATTTCTCCGTAGATTGCAGGGATTGACTCTCATGAGGTGGGTGGGGGCGGCAAAGAAATAGGCATATCAGATTGCTTAAAGTGATGTAGGAATTGTGGCGTCGTTCCCTACACTTCTTTTTTGTGCTTTTTCTTATACATTGAGACATTTTTTTTGTTTTTGGGACGAGAGTGCCGGTGATCCCCTGGTTAAAAAATACCCAAGTAAAATAAATTATATTTTTCTTTCTTTTTTCTTTGCTATCTCCGCCAAGAGAGAAAGACAAAAAAAACGGACGACTCGTTCACAATATCAAAGTGCCTGGCACTATCCCTTCATAGTGGTGTTCGCCATGACTTCGTGGCGTGGCTACCATGGACCTGGATGACGTATAAAACCCAGTATCTTTCAAGTCCTCTACAAGATGTTCTGTTAGGTATTTACATAAAACAACACAAAGGACCGCGAGAAAAATAATGGGTAAGATTTTAGAGATATGTCGGGACCGCTCAATTTTTCATCTGAGCAAGAGGGCTCATATAGTAATCCATGTCTTTTTGGGGGTTGCGCAAGACAGTCAGAGAAAGAATTTGGTTGCTCGTATCTTTCTCTCTTTCAGGGGTATTTAGTGGTAGATTTGTAATAATATGAATACGTTTTCCGCTCGTAGTTTAAATGTCGCTTTACAGCATGCTTGGAGAGAATCGCAATTTACGTCCATCTATTATTACACTTATAATAACGAGGTACGTTTGTTTTGATGCTTGACAATACTGAAACCGAGCTGAAGCTCCATTTCATGGGTGTTTAACTAAGAACCACAATTGACGGCGCAAACACGGTGATACTTCTTGTTTTCATCCTTAATTGGGCGTAATAAAACATTGTATTGTTACGCTATTGCGTTCCATACTGGTTTAGTTTACACGGTTGCATGTTAGTTTAATACTTTCCAAGTAAATATTTTCGTGTAAGGAATGCGATAGGCTTCAATCGGTATCAATAAATTGCTCACTCTTGTGCTGACATCATAGACATAACAAAATGTAATATTTAAATTCTTATATAGTAGGTTATAAACTACGATCCTACCAAAAGGAAACCCCTTGTTATCTATTAACATGGCCTATAACACTCACAAACATATTTTATAAAAAGACGAAAAAAAAACGTAATGCGGTATCAGACAGACTGAAGGCACCGAGCTGACAAAAGAAGAAGCAAAAATATTCGATACAGCAACCCCACAATTCACTCAAGATTCCAAAAACAAAGTATCTTCTCATATTTCTGGGAACTCCTTTTTGGCAAAAATGAGTATCGCAACAGGCTATGACCATAGTCTTATATGTCCCTGGTGAAAAATATATGTTGCCTAATATTTACACCCACCTGCCTTTTCCCTAAAAAAAAGCTTGCAATGGTTTTTAATCTGCATGCCATGTCGATGGCACTACACCATTTTATTCAAGATGGTAACCAAAATTTGTAGCACTTCGATGTTAATTAAAATTTGAACATAAAACGGCCAAAAAGTTTTATGCAAAAGAGAATGTATAAATACCATCTTGATAGGATGATAAAGCGCTCTGGAATTCATCTGTTTCTGTCGCCATAGCCTTGACATCGATGTTCAAGAACGGGCTCACGACCCGGCGAAGAGGCCTGAGACTTTCCTCAAAGTGCGTATCTTTCACGCATTTCCCAGCGGACGTAAAGAAACCCATCGAACAAGCTCCCGGGATTCTCAGTACAACTCGACGAACTTCGGAAAACCCGAGGACCGAAAGATGGAGGACGGGCCACAGCCGAAGCAGCAGCAGCAACAGCAGCAACAACAGCACAAACACATTTTGGACTGAAGAACATAGCACGACGTCATCGTGCTCTGCGACGAGCCAAATCCCATCGAAAAGCCAGACGCCAGCGCAGACCCCAGAAAGACAACAAAACAACCAGAAACGGTTCAGCCGAAATAACGACGGCGTCAGGGATGAAATGCAACTGGGGACTGAATCCCGGGAGGCTTCAAAAAACGCGAACACATCCCACGATACACAAACAAGAGAGTCAGTGAAAACAGAAAGTA